AGAAGAAACTCATATATCCATGCAATCTGAAGAACCTCACACGCAAACCATGCCAGTTGATCTCCTATGAATGATCTAGCTTAGGCAAGTACATACACACCAGAAATGGAAGAAATCAATGAGAATCTATGAATCAACCTATCAGTAGATGACCTCCGACGCATTTACCAACCCTGAAAATTTTCACTCATCATTACACTCATGGGAAAGCGCATCCTCCACCTACACCTAAAGAGGAAAATACAAGAGACATGGAAGCCTACTGAAAACTTCACTTTCATTGATCTTGGAGCAGATTACTTTATAGTTAAATTTAACAAGGAGGAGAATATGTCTAAAGCTTTGAATAATGGTCCATGGTTCATAAATGGTTTTTTCCTCTCAGTGCAAAAATGGGAACCTCAATTTGTGGCAAGTGAAGCCAAATAATTATTCTCAGCAGTATGGATCTATCTGCCTCAACTCCCAACAAAATTTTGTGATACTACCATACTACGAAAAATTGGGAATAAAATACGGATGTTACTTCGAATTGATGCATGTACTTCATCAACATTAAGAAGTCGATATGCAAGGTTGTATGTTGAAGATTAGGCTACAACCTTATAAAATGCCAATTCTAAAATGCAACCTATCCAGTCCAACTTGCCACAGGAAAATCAAAGCACAATCACACGGGATGCTTTCAATTCAAATCTGGAAACAAAATTTAATTGTGCAGTAAAGTAGGCATGCTTTCAATTCAAGTATTTAGCTCAAGCAGTAAAGTAAATACAAATCTGGACAATGTGAAGTATAAGGCGCAGCTAATCTCTACGTGCCAATGCACAGAATGCATGAAAATGTACCATGTACCTCCACTCTCAAGTGATCAACCACTTGGTACTGTATATGGCCATCCAGCCCAGGGAAGATCCATCCCATAATATATACACATCACTGATAACAGTCACTCTGTACCGAGAAAGGCCATTCCAGCCCTATGGAGAAGATCCATCTCCAGGTATAAATACTTCGGACAAGATCCATGTCCGGGGAAGATCCATCCCTCAATAATATCACTTGCTCTCACTGGAGGTGTGCTACAGACCTGGAGGGGCTCCTACAGCCCAAACGCTATCATAATCATCAACATAACCGCTGCGGCGTGCAGCCCAATCCCATAACTGTGACTCATAATCAGACTCTCGGCCTCACTCAGTCATCACTCTCCAGTCTCACACACGGGCTCACAGTTCCATGAAACTAGCCCGGAACGATGATATGATGTGCCAAATAATAATAACTGAGACTGAGACATGATATGATATGCATGAATAAGACTGAGTGCGGATTATCAATGAAACTACTGAGATGACAACAAGAAAATACCACTCGGGTCTCAACAGTATCGGCGTGAAGCCCTAACGTGATACCTAGCATGATTTACTGCTCATTTACTTAATCACATGATAGAAACACGGATATCTGCAAGAAAGAGTCACCAAGCGTTGCCATGGAATGAACTAGGCCAAAATTCTCGCGGTGCACATCTGCACGCCCGTCACTTGGCATGTACATCACCTCAATACCAATTTCACATAACACATAGTTCGGGGTTTCGAACCCTCAGAACCAAGTTTGGAAGCATTACTTACCTCAATCAAGCCAAAATCCTACTTCGCGACGCCCTTGCCTCTCGACTCGGCCTCCAAATGCTCCGAATCTAGTCACAATCAGTACAATACCATCAATATACATTAATGGAATGAATTCCACGAGAAAAACTATCAACTTAGACCAAAATCCTGAAATTCATCCAAACCCGGCCCCCAGGCCCACGTCTCGAAATCCAAAAAAATAACAAAACTAGGAGGCCCATTCACTCACAAGTCCATACATACGAAATTCATCAAAATTCGACTCCATTTGGCCCCTCAAATCAAACTCTCCAAAATTCCAAGCCCTAATCCCTCATTTTCACCCCTAATCTTCACTAATTACATGATTAAAACAATGATAAATCACCATATATACGAGTATTAGGGCTCAAGCAACTTACCTCACTGATAATCCCTTGAATCTCTCCTCAAAATCGCTCCCAAAAGCTTCAAACCGACTAAAAATGGTGGAAAGGAACCAAAGCTCGTGAAGTCCACAATTTATATTTTCTGCCCAGAGATACCGCATCTGCGGTCCAAATGTGGCTTTTGTGATGCCGTACCTTTAAAATGCATCACAGGTGCGGTTCCCACTTATTCCTCAGAATCCGCTTTCGTGGTAACAATATCGCACCTGCGGTCTCGCAGGTGCTCCAAATCTCGTACATGTGCTTCAAGCCATCCTCAGCCTTTGCCACATCTACAGCTCCCTCCCCGCTTCTGCGGGCTCGCACCTGCGGTTCCCACTCCGCAGTGACTGCTGAGTTCAACTTCAGCAATTCCTCAAATTCCAAACTTGTTCCGTCAATCACCCGAAATCAACCCGAGGCCCTCGGGACCTCTACCAAACATACCAAGAAGTCATATATCAACATACAAACTTAGTCGAACCTTTGGAACACTCAAAACAACATCAAAACACACTTAATTACCCTCGGATTCAAGCCTAAGAACTTCTATTCCAAATTCCGCAAACGACGCCGAAACCTATCAAATCACCTCCAAATGACCTGAAATTTTGCGCACACGTCAAAAATTACACCACAAACCTACTCCAACTTCCGGAATTCCATTCCGACCCCGATTTCAAACTTTCCACTGCCGATCAAAATCGCCAAATTTCCAACTTTCGCCAATTCAAGTCTAATTCTACCAGGGACCTCCAAATCACATTCTGGACGCACTCCTAAGTCCAACATCACCTAACAGAGCTAAAGAAACCATCAGAATTCACATATGAGATCGTTTACACATAAGTCAACATTCGGTCAACTTTCCAAACTTAAGCCTTCACAAAAGAGACTAAGTGTCTCAAATCCTCTCCGAATCCACTGCAGACCCGAACCAACTGATCCAACATATCATAATATAGCTGAAGGACACAAAAAGAAGCAGAAATGGGGAAATGGGGCTATAACTCTCGAAACAACCGGCCGGGTCGTTACAACAACCTACTAATCCTGCCCTCACTCCCGATCCTAATATGTCCAAAAAATACTTGTTTGGGCTTCCAAATGGAAGAATTAGTAGAACATGTTGCAACAAACAAGTCTTCAAATGATCTCCTTAAATCTCACACGCCACTCCACTCAATCTCCATACAAATAGATCCTATTCCTAAAGTAATTAGCCTGACTTCCGCATCATTACCAACCAAGGAAAACATCAATATAATCTCTTCTATTAGAAAAGAAGATGCAAAAGCTACCATTTACGGCAAGAATGAGGTTCATACTATTTCATGTCCTTCACCAACAAAGGAGTCAAAATATGGACAACCTACCACCACTACCATCCTATCTCCCCAATCAACCTCTCTTCTTCACAATCCCTCCACCACCAAAAATTATCAACCAACTTCTTGGCTAGAAGCCGGTATGATGAGTCATGCCATCATCTTCAACATCCAAATCAATGGGCAAGACATGGTGATAATAATCCAAAACACACGATACCTAGCCCAACTAATATGGGAAGGAATGCACTTGGCCATGAACAATTATACAAACCAGGTATGGATCAACAACATTCTTTATCCATTAGCACCCAACATGCACCACACATTGATACAAGCAATGCAAGACCAGTGGCACCTACCACAAATTCCAAACCACCACATACCAATGAATCTTCCCTTCTTTGCACCAGAGGAGAATACGAACCTAAACCCTATTTTCATGCCCTGGAACCTCCATGCAAACCTCTGTTCTAGCTCTTTGTTGGTTGAGGGGTAGTGATTAAATAGTACCCTTAGTCTATAGTGGTTGTGGTTTACGATGTGAGAGTAAAGTCATGTCCTCGGGTGGGGCGGGGGGTGGGGGGCAAGGGTGGGAAGGGGGACAAGGAAGCTTCTAGGCTGAGAGTTGGGTCCTGGAACATAGGGATGTTGACGGGTAAGACTATAGAGTTAGGTAGGATTCTTCAGAGAAGGAGGATAACATAGCGTGTGTCCAAGAGACCAGGTGGAAGGGTACTAAGGCACGTGATGTTAATGGGTATAAATTGTGGTACTCTAGAGGTGTTGGGGGCAAGAATAGGGTTGGTATATTAGTTGACAGGGATCTTAGGGAGCTAGTGGTCGAGGTTAGGAGGGTAAGAGATAGGGTGATGGTGGTTAAGCTTGTGGTTGGGGGGTTTATTTTGAGTGTGATTAGTGCGTATGCTCCTCAAGTAGGCTTGGGAGAGGAGGTCAAGAAGCAATTCTGTGAGGACTTGGACGAGGTGGTATGTAGTATTCTGCGCACCGAGAAGATTTTCATTAGAGGGGATTTCAATGGCCATATCGGGGCTAATGCTAGGGGTTATGATGATGTGCATGGAGGGATCAGATTTGGAGATAGGAACGAGGGAGGTACTTCGTTGTTGGATTTCGCTAGAGCTTTTGATCTGGAGGTAGTTAACTCGAGTTTCCCAAAGAGGTAGGAGCACCTGGTCACTTTCCGGAGTACGGTAGCCAGGACCCAGATGGACTATCTTCTCTGTAGGAAATGTGATAGAGGTCTTTGCATGAATTGCAAGGTCATCCCAAGTGAGTGTCTCACGACCCAACATAGGCTCATAGTAATAGATCTGGGGATCAAGAGGAATAGAAAGAAGAGAGTCGTGTGCAGTCAACCTCGTCAAATGGGGAAACTTGACTAAGGACAAAGCCCAGGAGTTAGGGGAGAGGTTGCTGGCGATAGGGGCTTGCAAGAGTAGGGGGACGCGACTGAGATGTGGGCCATGATAACAAACTACATTAGGGAAGCTGCAAGACAGGATGTGCTGACGTGCACATTCAAGGCCATGGTGCATGTTATTTGCCGATGACGTAGTGATGATTGATGAGACGAGAAGCGGGGTCAATGCGAGGCTGGAGGTATGGAGGCACACCCTAAAGGTTTCAAGTTGAGTAGGACCAAAACAGAATACGTGGAGTGTAAGTTCAGTGACAAGACTCATGAAGTGGACGTGGATGTAAAGATTGATACCCAAGTCATCCCGAGGAGGGGTAGTTTCAAGTATCTCGGGTCAATAATCCAGGGTAACGGGGAAACTGATGATGAGGTCTCCCACCGTATCAGTGCAGGGCGGATGAAATGGAAGCTCGCATCCGGTGTTTTGTATGATAAGAAGGTGCCACCAAGACTTAAGAGTAAGTTCTACAGGGTGGTGATTAGACCTACTATGTTGTATGGGGCTGAGTGTTGGCCAGTCAATAACTCCCATGTTCAGATGATGAAAGTAGCAGAAATGAGAATGCTGAGATGGATGTGTAGGCATACCAAGAGAGATAAGATTAGGAATGAAGTTATTCAGGACAAAGTGGGAGTGGCCCCCGTGGAGGACAAGATATGGGAGTTGAGGCTGAGATGGTTCAGGACGGATGCTCCTATTGGGAGGTGTGAGAGGCTGGCCGTGGCGGGGCAGGGAAGGGGTAGAGGAAGGCCGAAGAAGTATTGGGGAGAGGTGATTAGGCAGGATATGGCACTACTTCAGCTCACTGAGGACATGACCTAGGATAACAGGGTGTGGAAGTCGAAGATTAGGGTAGTTGGCTAGTAGGTAGTCGAGAGTTCCCCGTTCTTTTTTAGTAGTATTAGTAGCTCCCTTGTTTTTTTTTCGTTCGCTCTGTGTATCGTATTTTCCAGTTTGTTACTATTTGACGCTTTTTTTCTTTTACTTGTTGTTTCGTTGTTGTTGTTGTTGTTGTTGTTGTTGTCCTTTTCCCCTTTTCCTTATCGTCCTCTGTCCCCCTATTCTTTCTTTCTTCTTCCTCTTTCTTCTTTGTCTTCTTCCTTTCTCTCTTTTAACCTTTTCTTGAGCCGAGGGTCTATTGGAAACAACATTTCTACCTCTCCAGGTAGGGGTAAGGTCTGCGTACACACTACCCTTCCCATACTCCACTTGTGGGATTATACTAGGTTATGTTGTTGTTGTTATTTGGAACCTCCATGCAAACCAAGAACAAGCTCATCCAGTAAACCACAATCCCCAACACAATGTACAAGAACCAAACATGAACCCAGTACAGAATCAAGTATGGGAAGAAGAAGAACCCCCACAAATAGGTATGGAACCGAGTGTGGAGTTTTCAAGTCTAAACGAAGTAAAGATATTGCTCTTCCCAGAACTGTGGAGCAAGAATTACATCTTCAGTTGTCCCAGTACAATGTACAAATGCTCAATGCACATAAGGCCACCATAGTATCTAACAATGGGAAAACAGTCAGTGATACTTGTACCATCAAAGAGGAGGAACCACAACACTGTGAAAATGGAAGCCAACATCAACCAACACCAACCCTTAGAAATGAATAGGGCCACCAGCATTATTTTATGGAACGTTAGGGGAGCAAATAATGATGAGTTTCGTAGAAACTTTAGGGAACTTATCGACACCCATAGGCCATGCATGGTAGCGTTAATAGAAACTAGGACGACTGCTCATGCAACATTACTCAACGACTTCAACTTCTCAGAACATATAGAAGTTCCAGTAGAGGGGCAAGCAGGTGGTATGATTATCCTCTATAATCACAACCTTGTCACAGTCCATCATTTCACTAGGAGAGGACGGGAAATTCATGCTTTAATCGAGGTATGACCTTATAAAACTCAATGGCTATTTACTTTCATATACGCCATTACAAAGAGTAGTTATAGGGATCTAATGTAGGATAACCTTATTTACATATCTAAAAATTATAATGGACCTTGGATGATAGGTGATGACTTCAATGATATTATCAATAGTAGTGAAAAATTAGAAGGCGGACCTATGAAACCATCTAAAATATGGAATTATATTAATAAGTGCAGCCTTATTGATTTAGGCTTTAAAGGTTGCAAATTTACATGGTCTAACCGTAGAAGAAAGAATAACGGGCTAATCATGGAAAGGCTAGACCGTATCCTAGCCAATAAGAAATGGGTAAACAAATTTCCAAATGCTACAATCACCAACCTCCCAAAAACATACTCTGACCACAACCCTATATTGGTTAAGCTTAATAATTGCTTCAATAATTCAAGCAAGCCTTTTAGATTAGAAAATATTTGGTACACTCGCCTTGACTTTACCAATGTAGTAGCCACCAACTGGAAAAATAAGGAACTCCATGAAGCTACTAGTACCTTCACTAAGAATATACAAATATGGGGGAAAACAACTTTTGGAAGCATCTGTAGGAATAAGAAAAGGATTCTGGCCTATTTAACTGGCATTCAAGATTCCAGCAACTACAATCAAAGCCTTTTTCTACAAAACCTTGAGCAATCTCTATTAAAAGATTATAACAATATTTTAAAATTTGAAGAGGATTACTAAAAACTCAGATCTCGTATCAATTGGATTAATGATGGTGATGCCAATACGAGATTCTTTCACATCTCAATATCCAACAGTGAATGACAAAATAATATTAGTTTCTTTAAGAATGATCAAGGAGATTAGATTGATAATCAAAATTATCTCTTAAATTACACCCAAGCCCACTTCAACACTGTTTTTACCACAAATCATGTGACAACAAAGTGGTCAAATATCAAACTAAGCTCCACTACTTTTGAAAAATTAGACCTGACAGCTTTAGATAAGCCCGTACAAGATAGCAAAATTAATTCTGCCATGTTCTCCTTTAAACCATTCAAGTCACCTGGCCCGATGGTTTGCATCCCTTTTTTCATCAAAAATATTGGAACATTATAGGAGAATCTGTGAGAAACTTTTGTCACGAAGTCTTTAATGATAGCTCAATTCCTTGTGAAATCAACTCTACTTATTTATGCTTAATTCCAAAGTTTTCCAATGCTAATAATCTTAACAATTTCCGTCCTATTAGTTTATGTAAAACCATCTATAAAATAAAAACTAAGATTACTGCTAATAGGCTAAAGCCCTTCCTTGATAGACTTATTAACGCTAACCAATCTAGCTTCATTAAAAACAGAAGAGCTAGTGACAATGCCATAATTATCCAAGAACTCATTCATCAATTCCAAAAAATGTAGTGGCAAGACTGTAATATGCTAATGAAGATTGACTTAGAGAAAGCATTTGATAAACTGGAGTGGTCCTTAATTTAAAGAACTCTTCTTTAATTTAAATTTTCTGCCAAATTTCGAAATTAACTATGTCTTGCATAACAACTTCCTCTACGGCAGTTCTGGTAAATGCAGCCAAAACAAACTTCTTCTATCCAAGTAGCGAAATTAGGCAAGGGGGCCCTATGTCTCCGTATATATTCATATTATGTATGAAAATGTTATCTAGGTACATAAACCACCAAGTCGACATTAGGAAATGAGACCCCATTAACTTAAGTTATAAATGTCCTCCCTTGTCACACTTATTTTTCGCAGATGACCTAGTTCTAATGGGGAAAGCAAATAATATAACATGCTCCACAATACGTTTTGGACTTGACTATTTTTGTGAAATCTCTGGGCAAACAATCAATTACAAAAAAATCAAGAATCGTCTTCTCAAAGAACTGTAACATCACCACAACTACTGATATCTCCTCTTACCTAGGCATCAAATGTAATAAATCCTTTGAAAGATATCTCGGATTCTCAATATTCAATGGTAATCCTACTTACAACGATTATCAACACATCATTGATAGCATGCGAGCAAAGCTTTCAGGATGGAAAACTAAGTGCTTGAACTTAGCTGGTAGAGCAACACTAATTTCATCAACCCTATTAAGCCAACCAGCGTACTATATGCAATATACCCTATTACCCTCCAAAATCCTAAAAACTATTGATCAAATACAAAGAAGCTTCTTATGGGGTACTAATAAGACTAAAAGAAATTACATCTTATTAATTGAGATATTGTCACAAAGAAAAAGGAACAATGTGGGCTGGGTATAAAGAAAGCTAGATCTAAGAGTGAAGTCGTATTAGCCAGCTTAGCATGGAAACTAACCAACAACCCGTTGAATCTTTGGGCAAATATTTTAATAAAAAAATACGCAAGTCATTCCAAATATAACACCTCTTTCATCTGAAAAAGTATTGTTAAAGGGTGGTCACTATGCCAGCATGGTAAAGCATGGTCTATACACCAAAATTCATCACTAAATATTTGGGAAAATAAGTGAATCCTTAATTCCAATAGCCTTAGAAATTATGTGACAGGCCCCCTAAACAAGCAATAGTCTACTCTCACAATTAGAAATATTTGAGCAACAACAAGTGGAATCTGAGAAAAATCTCTTTCAACATTCCAACTGAAATATACCAAAAAATTACTTCTATCTTTTTGTCCCTAGACAGTATTATGGATACCCTTATATGGGACATTAAGAATGAGGGATCCTTCACTACTAAATCTTGCTATGATCTGATCGACAAGGAACCTCCCGATACAATAAACTTTAATTGGATATGGAAACTTCATTGCCCTAACAAAATTAAATATTTTATCTAGCTTTGCTACCACAACAAACTACCATGTAGAAGCTACTTAGCTCGCATAGGTATTAATATTAATGATCTATGCATAATTTGCCGCAATGAGATGGAGGATATTGTTCATATTTTCCTTAAGTGGTCCATCGCTCAAAATCTTTGGGAACAACTAGGCATAAACACTAAAAACCATCACCCAAAAAAGGATAACTGGCTACTATACCTTCGCGAGATGGACCCACCCTTATCCAACAAACACCTCTCATGGAAAACCTATTTCCAACATGATATGGAATATATTGTTAAATAGGAACAACAATAATATTAATAACATGTCTGAATCTCTTTAAAATGGGTCATCAACCAAGCCACTGAGTATAAGCTACTCACAGAGCGAGAAACTAACTTGGATAGGAAGATTACCATTAAGTTCCTCTGAACACCACCACGTATAGGATGGTACAAATTAAATATAGACGAGGCCTTCAAAGAAGGTTACAAAAACGGTGATATAGGAGGTGTTTTTAGGTATTCGGGTGGGAATTGGATTTTAGGATTCCAAATGAAAGCCTACTCAAGAGCACCTGTCCACACAAAACTCCAGGCCCTCTATCAAGGGCGACACATAGCTCAAGAGATGAATTTATATCCCTTGGAAGTAGAAACGGATGCCACCCAGGTAATTGCTTATATTAATGATGGTTGTATAACTTACGACTCAATCATTAAATCATGCAGGTGGTCAATATCCAGAATGGGCATGATGGTGATCGAGCATAACTATCTCAAGGCAATGAAGTTGCTCATCTCTGGCCAAGCGTGCAACTAAGCTTACTGTTTTCAATAAAATGTGTCTTTTGTCTATTCCTCCACCCTATGTCATGGCCAGGATGCTGGCAGATAAGGGAGGAAATATTTGTGTTAAAACTATCTCTATTAATGCTTGTAGACATCCAGTTAAAGATAGTAATCAGCATGCAATGCATGGATTATCATCCTCTTGTACTGATCTCCACGATCATAACTACTGTATGCTTTAACTTCTATTAAATAAAATTTTCCAGTTTATCAAAAAAAAAAAAGATCACTGATTCAAGTTATACTATTATTAATTAAAAGATTACCTGGAATGTTGAAAGATGAAAGGTGACCTCAAAATTCAATCTTAAGTCAACTTCGGCCTTGACTCTTCATTGTTTACAAACACACGTATGATGTGGTTGTGTGGGTGAGACGTGAGAGA